TAGCGGGGAGAGTATGTGTGCGGACACCGACCAACTCCCGGCGCTCTCACCCAATATCGTGATCTCATCCCTATCTCCGCCAAACTGTTCAGCATTTTCTCTAACCTATTATTATGTCATTAATTCATATATTATTATAAAAATTAATAGAAATATTTAAAAAATACAATTAATTTATACCCATTTGAGAGCCAATAACTGGTCAAAAAAGCCCACATTTCCGGGCGCGTCCTCCCGATCCCCGTATAGGAAACCCAACTGTCCTAATCTATACTGTGTTGAGACATACACCACATCATGTGTGGCCAACAAAGCAGTTATCGGTGGTGCAAATATCGAGCCAATAGCTAAGCCGCCGCCGTGTATGTGAAACATAATGGGTTTGAGCTGTGATTTGTTTGTGTTATTATTGCCCGCATTTGGTGTCCATATGTTTAATACCAAACAGTCTTCACTTGTGGTTAGATTTGGAAAGTATTGAGTGTTCGGTTGAATACAAGAATTTTTGGCTTTTGTTGCATCGATAATGTCCTAAATATTTAACATTTATTATTTAATTTATTGTAATTTACATGTTTAAAAAATTAATAATTACCGGTTTGGGTGTTTTGATGGGTTCAGGTTTGGCGAACCGGAGTCTCCCGACGGGTGGTTCGGCATAAGGTATACCCAAAAACTGGTCAATACTTACGTTCAACACATCTATCGTCTGACCCCTCACTACACCCGATGTTGTCTTTACATCAATACATGCTATGAATTCAACACAATTCAATGAAAACAAAAATTGTAGAATAATTTTCATTTTTATCCTTATTATAATAACTATTATTACTATTATTTTATTAATTTAATAAAAGTATTATAAATTAACAAATGTTTGATTAATTGTTTATATACGTGCTAAAGTTAATGGGTTTCAATAGGCTATGAGATTAAAGCAATTCAAAACAATTTATCTAAAAGTATGATAAACTAGTAATCTTTATATAAGGTAAAAATCAATATTAATAATACAGTACTATTGGCTAATAATATTAATACTTAACCACATTAATCAGAATAATATTAATAAGTACTTAAAGTAACCCTAATCATATATTTAATTAAATGATGATTTCAAGTGCACTTCATAATATGAAGTTCATATAGACTTGGTAAACTAAATTTATTTTTGTCATGAAGTGTACTGTACAAGGTTAAATGTAGTTCTCACTGACACTAATGTACTTAATTTTAAATTAATCTAATTTAAGCATAATGCATTCATACAATTAACTCACTTTTATTAACATGGGTTTATCGCAATCACTTGAAAAGCAATTGAATTTCGGGACATTTTGATTACATCTTGGTTTGTTTGCCCATACAGTAAGCTGGAGATTGAAATCAGTATATGGATTTGTTTAAGACACACATTGGTTGACAATAACCCAAATAATCTCTCAAAAGTCATAATATATTTCTATTATATCTGTTATAATCAATAGATGACAACGAATCCTATTGATACATATAATAGTTTGTGTCGTGAAATCAATTGCCAGACATTTTGGTTGTCGTATACATTGTACTACAAAGTTTATAAACCAGTATAATTGAAGTAATGGTTTGCCATTAGTTATAATTAGTTGTATAATTAAATTAATTAATATACTATTTAATTAAATTATTTAAAATAAAATCAATAATTTATTTTATATTTGCAATGAATATAAGAATTCCAGATATAATGTTGTATTAAAGCAATTGTTTTATTGATATAATTTGATGACAATTATAAATTAATGATATAATTTATAATATAATAGAGAATAATGATATTTGAAAACTATGAAAGTGTTGAATGTTTTACTTTCGTTTGTTTATTTAAACTTGATTTAATTACATAAGTTTTGTGGCAATTATTCACATGACATTTGAATGGGTGTATATTTAAATGTTTGACATTTATGTGATCTCTTAATAAAGTTTTAGTGACAAAACATTTTCCGCAATCAATTGAAAGGCATTTATATTTCCGTATATTTGTGTGAATTCTTCTCTTGTGATTCCATAGACCCGACGGATCACTAAATGTTTTGTTACAATCATTAAAATGACAAACTAATGGTTTTTCTCCCGAATGAATGCGTTTGTGAACAATTAAATATTGTTTACTTTTAAATTTTTGTGTAAAACTTTTAAAATATCATTTGATTTTATGAGACCTCATTAAATGCAGAGTTAACCCGTTTTTAACAGCATATGATTTATGACAATTATATTCACTACATTTGAATGGCTTATTATTTAAATGAATACGTTTTGTATGATTTATTAATTCATATTTTTCTCTAAAAGTTTTCTCACAATCACTTGAACTGCATTTGAATTTCCGGATATTTAGATGATATATCCGTTTATGTCGCCATAGATTAACATTTTGTTTGTAACTTTTGTTACAATTTTTAAATTTACAATTGAATAGTTTTTCTCCCGAATGAATGCATTTGTGTTCAATGAGATGTGCTTTTGTTGTGAATTTTTTGCCACAATTTTCTTCATTACATTTAAATTTCCTTTCATTCAAATGAACACAACTTTTGTGCTGAAATAAATGTTGTTTTGTTGTAAAACTTCTGTGGCATTCATTGAAATTACAAATAAATCTCACATTTAAATGAATAGCATTTTTGTGTACAATTAAACTTTCATTTTGGGTAAACATTTTATCACAATTATTAAAATCACATTTAAATTGTTTTATTCCTGAATGAATTAATTGATGTTTTATAAGACTTTGTTTATATGGTGTCTTGTATTGACATTTAGGCCAAAAACAGTGAAAATAATCATCAGATTTAGTAATGATATGACAATTGTTTAGCATTTTATCACTGATTTTACATGAATTGCAATCAATTGTTTGATTGATTGAAAAATAATCATTATTTTCGCATTCAATCGCTTCACACAAAACACTATTATTTGTATTCAAAATACACTGAATTTT